TAGCATATTAACAGTAATTAACATATTTTCTCTTCATTTTTGAATTCCCTAATATTAGAAGATTACATAAATGTATGTAATAGTTATAGTTCAAAGTCAATATGGTTTGTGAATTAGAGAGAAATAATATCAGAAATTTTTATTCTAAAATTTTATTGAAAAGACTGGTCTAATAAATTGACATTAGTATTGTAAACCAAACCAATACATGTCAAAAAAAAAAGAAACGATATTAATAAAAAAATATAATGTTTATTAGTCCATTCTGCGATGCCAACAATAAAATCAGTCCACTTGTAGGCCAGGAGTGGAAAAACGTGTGGTGTGAGGTAAGGGAGGGGATATACTGCAGGAATCTGCACATTGGTTAGTCGCAGCAGAGTGTTAAATAAATTGCATTTTTTTTTAACCAAGTTATGGCGCTGGATATAAACCAACATGCCAGTCAATTGTCAGGTATCGTATAACAAACTTTATTATTTTACAAATTACATTAAAGTTGCTTTACCTTAATAACTAAAATAACCTGAATGGTTTAAATGTTTTGTTCTTTTTTATTTTCCTTCTTTGATTTTTGGTTGTTTTTTGTTTTTTTTTTTGTTTTTTCTTTCCATTTTTTTTCTTTTTTCACTTTTGTCTTTATTTTTTTCTTTTCTAAACAATTTTTTCGAGTCAGGTGTACAAATTTTTTTAATGGTAGCACCGCTACTTACGTGTTTTATTTCAATTTCCTAATTACAATTTTAATTTGAGTGTTTTGACGAAATTATAGAGTATATTATATATACTGTCATAAGTCAGTAAATTTTTAAATTTATAGGTAACTGAATTTTGTTGTTAATCAGGGCTGGTATATCTAAGGGGGTCGCGACATAGGAGTCCATTTTGGACGCCATTTTTTTCGAAATAGTAGTCGCCCATTGATCTGGCAACGTCGCAACCTGTAGTCGTCAGGCTTACCAATATAAGAAAAAAAATCAATGTCTTTTTTTAAATAATTATTTTATAGGATAAAATATTTCAATTTAATAAATTATTAATAATCTTACATGTCGTGAAAAGTAGATCACTCTCAATTTTGTGCTGTTTTGGTTTGGTTTATTTTAAAAGGTAAATGGAGAGATGAAGACAATTTTCTTATAGATGAGGATGCATAACAAATTATGGCTCCAGTCCCCTAAGTCTATTTATTTTAGGTCTCTTTAAATTGTTGGTAGGTATTATTCACTTCATTTGTATGTTTTTATTTAATTTAAATAATTTTGTGTAATATCTTGCGATTTGTTTTCTATACATTTTAGCATGTATTTGTTGGCTACATCTTACAAAGGATGGCTTTGAAATACCTTTACAACAGAAGTAGGTACTTTCCTAAAACTGGCCGAAATTTGAAACTGAATACAGTTCTTAGAAAAAATGTCCAGCAAAAAATGTCCGCATGCAGAATAACAGTAGCATAAATTAACAAAGCTGACAAAAGAGTTGGACAAACCTTTGTCTAGCTTTTTAATATTTCAGGACAATAGTGTTAACAGCAGACCACAACAAGAACAGCCAAAGTTTAGTAATCAAGCAAAATATTTCAGTATCTCCAGAATTATAAACGTATGAAAACTATATAGGAAACATGTATGGCTTCGAATAGAAAATTACCTAAATTAGCATATCTAGTGAATATTGTATTTAAAGAATATATTTTTAATCAAAACTTTTGTGCTTCTACTCCAATACTAACCACATAGAAATGTATATGCATTTTATAGTATTAAGCAAGATTCGGATCAAATGTACCCACAATTTATAAACATTATTAAACTAAAATAAAACATTTCAAATAACACCTGTTTTTATTTAAATAAATCATGTTAAATGTATGTTTTTATTAAATACATAAATTAGTCTCGACCACACATTTTTTTTTGTTTTTACTTCTAGTGTAAAAGTGACTACTAATTCACAGTCTTTCAAGTTTATTATTTAAAGAGACCAGCTACTACAAAATATCTTAATGATGATAATTAATTTCTCTTTAATAATGGTTTTGCATTTATTAACATTTTACAGCACTT